CCCCCCCACCCTCCCCCCCCCCCCCCCCCCCCCTCCCCACCACCCCCCCCCCCCCCCCCCACCACCCCCCCCCACCATCACCACCACCACCCACCATCACCACCACCATCACCACCCCACCACACGCATCTTTGTGGAAATTATAATTAATTATTAAAAAAATGTTTTCTGACCCTGCATGAACTTTGCATTTCTTTAATTTAAAAATTACATGTCGGTGGGCCTTCGCTTTTTAGAAAACTGCCTACAATGTTATAATCACAATCAATGTGCTGTGTGAAATGAGTTTTGAATCGTAGGACATTCCAGTATTATTCAGTTAACCTTGTGATATTGTTTATTTTATTTTCTAAGCATTACACCCATATTTCATTGAAGATGTACTGTTGCCATTGTGACTGATAGTACGACTGTCATTGTGATTGATAGTAGGACTGCCACTCTGACTGTTAGTAGGACTGCCATTGTGACTGATAGTGCCACTGTCATTGTGATTGATAGTAAAACTGCCATTGTGATTGCTAGTAAGACAGCCATTGTGACTGATAGTAAGACTGCCATTGTGATTGCTAGTAAGACAGCCATTGTGACTGATAGTAGGACTGCCATTGTGACTGATAGTAGGACTTCAATTGTGACTGATAGTAGGACTGCCATTGTGACTGATAGTAGGACTGCCATTGTGACTGATAGTAGGACTGCCATTGTGACTGATAGTAAGACTGCCATTGTGACTGATAGTAGGACTGCCATTGTGACTGATAGTAGGACTTCAATTGTGACTGAGAGCTGAGAGTAGGACTGGCATTGTGACTGAGAGCTGAGAGTAGGACTGGCATTGTGACTGAGAGCTGAGAGTAGGACTGCAATTGTGACCGAGTGAAGGACTGCCATTGTGACTGATAGTAGGACTGCAATTGTGACTGAGAGTAGGACTGCCATTGTGACTGAGAGCTGATTGTAGGACTGCCATTGTGACTGAGAGCTGATTGTAGGACTGCCATTGTGACTGAGGGCTGAGAGTAGGACTGCTATTGTGACTGAGAGCTGAGAGTAGGGCTGCCATTGTGACTGAGAGCTGATTGTGACTGAGAGCTGATTGTAGGACTGCCATTGTGACTGAGAGCTGATTGTAGGACTGCCATTGTGACTGAGAGCTGATTGTAGGACTGCCATTGTGACTGAGAGCTGAGAGTAGGACTGCCATTGTGACTCAGAGCTGAGAGTAGGACTGCCATTGTGACTGATAGGAGGGGAGGTGTTGGAGCTGTCAGCAGGTTTTATTAAATGGTGGTGGGGGGGGGAGGGGGTTGGACAGGGCCGGCCCTAAGGTTGCTCTCAGCCCTACTGTTGCTGTTGCCCCAGGCTATATTAACTTTGGCACTCCTTTTAAGTATAATCATCACCATTTTTGCAAGGAAAAAGTCAGAGTTAGGTCATGAGTTTATTGCTTGGGTTTTTAAAGAAAAACAAAACAATGAACAATAATATTGTTTTTCTAAACTTGTATTTGGGCAGTATGAACAATTGGCCTACCGTAGAAAGTATGAACAATTGGCCTCCCGTAGACAGTATGAACAATTGGCCTACCGTAGACAGTATGAACAATTAACCTACCTTGGACAGTATGAACAATTAGCCTACCGTGGACAGTATGAACAATTAGCCTACCGTGGACAGTATGTACAATTAGCCTACCGTGGACAGTATGAACAATTGGCCTACCCTGGACAGTATAAACTATTAGCCTTCCAGTGACATTTTTTCTCTAGCCTTTAGATTAGCAAATCTTTTTATTACACTTTTTATTTTTCTTCCATGGCGACCACATGCAAGGCTTCTTTTCTATTGTTGGAAGATCGTTGATGGCGCCCTAAGAACATGGCACCCTGAGCACATGGCACCCTAAGCACATGGCACCCTAAGCACATGGCGCCCTAAGAACATGGCACCCTAAGCACATGGCACCCTAAGCACATGGCGCCCTAAGAACATGGCACCCTAAGCACCTGGCACCCTGAGCATATGGCACCCTGAGCAACTGCCAGTGTTGCTGGTACCGGAACCTTGAGCTGGCTCTGGGGTGTATAATGGCACCCTAAGCACATGGCGCCCTAAGCACATGGCACCCTACGCACATGGCACCCTAAGCACATGGCGCCCTAAGAACATGGCACCCTAAGCACATGGCACCCTGAGCATATGGCACCCTGAGCAACTGCCAGTGTTGCTGGTACCGGTACCTTGAGCTGGCTCTGGGTTGTATCTGACATCATGTTTTGATTAAATGGGGTGGTTTGAAAAGGGGGGGGGGATGAGCTGACAGTATGTTTGTAAGTATATATGTTACTGCAAGTTGTAATCAATGTACTACATGTTAGGGGAAAACTGAAAAAAGGATGCAAAAAAAAAACTACCACCATATTGCCATTGACCTAATCTGATTACAGTCTTCCCCATTATTATGGATTCCTCGATGTCAGTCTCTGCTGACGAGATGGTTTTTTAAAAAAATGGTTTGCTCCCTCGGCAATTGACTTTTTCCAAGTTGCACACAAGCCAATGGCCGTCCCAAGATGTGGTTGAATGGGACTTTTACAGGGATATATTTAAAGTAAGGATTCCTACTATTATTGAAATGCTGGTAAAGTCATGTACTGCCAAGTTCTTTTCAGAATGATTTACTTAAAATTGTTTTTCTTTTTATCTCTCCTTTTTGTCTTTTCATTCAGTGTACAGATGAACAAAGTGGATTTTATTGTATGTCAACATACCAAATACTTTTATTTTGTCACATACCAGTAAAAATAGAATAAATACAACACAGTAAACAAGTATCAGAATTCCGAATGAAATCATACAACATTTTCATTGCATATCAAACTGGACCTCAGTGTTAATGTTGGTAATAGATCAGGCTTGTATTTGTATAATTCAAATTAAGTTAGCGTCAGAATTAGGACAATGTTGTAATTCCGGGGCCATGAGTAACTTGCCTTTGTTTTGTTTATTGTAACACATATTGCACAAATTTTATTGCTGGCCTCATGGTGAAGCTGTGTGTTTGAGAGCTCCTGGGCTAGAGTGAAGTGAAATGAGCTTTAATTAGAAGCACTCCTTCTGGTCATCTACACTTCCTCTTTATTTTGTTTTCTGAATTTTTGCAAATCATCTTACATAAGATTTGACTGAGATGATGTGCTATAAAGTCTGCTTTTCAATTAATTTTTATCACCACAATACTTAAAATAACATATTCACAATTCACATATTCAGCCACAATTCACAAGACCAAGACCACATGACCAAGACCACATGACCAAGACCTCATTTGAGGTTCTCAAAAGTAAAAAAAAAAGATTTTTTCTTAACAATTTTCAGAGAACTTTTGGGACACACAATTTTTAAACAAACTTGATATTAATATGAGTGAAGTACATTTTTTTTAAATTTGAAAAGAATAGTAGTCAATGGCTACTGTTGTGACAGACAGAGCGTGATAGAGCGTGATAGAGTGTGACAGAGTGTGGACAGTATTCTTTTTAAAACTCATAGCTATTTTGGTCTTACTACATTCCATAAGAAAACACATAAGAGGGTACATCCAGGAATGTCTTGCTTTCATTCCTGAGAGAAAGTGCATTTTCATGAGCAGATGTGCTGTGGAGGGTGTCTCATTGGAGCCAGTGTTTTAGCAATGTTCTTTTTACAAAGTAGAACTGATTGAGCACACAATATTGCTATAAATATTGCTCA